AATGGGACATCTGGGATTCCTGCCGCAAGAATCCACAGGTTCTTGTCATAGGGATCCCAGCACAGCCAGTGTGAATAGGGCTTTATGCTGCAGTGCTTATAGCCGGTTAAAAGCATTGCATCTTGTCACTCACATGGGTCCTATGTCTACACACACATGCAGAGCTATCTTGTTAAAGTGCTAAAATGCAGACAATGCCTCCAAGGAGCACCTGACCTGCTTAGTCTTTAGTCATTCATTTCTTTGGATTGGCCCTTGACATCATTATCAAGGATATCACTGGAGGCAAGAGTGCTCATCTGCCTTCTTTGACCACTCCTGCGTGCAAAACTCCCTTGGTTGCAAGATGTTTGTGGGTTTCCTTGCATGAACTTCAAATGTCAAATCCCCCACAACACTTCAATGGGATTAAAATCAGGGCTTTGACTAGACCAGTCCAAAACCCTTCATTTCTTCTTTTTGCCTATTCCTCAGTGGATTTGCTTGTGTATCTTGGATCATTCTCATGCTGAAAGATCCATTTCCATTTTACCTTTTAGAATGATGGTATCACATTCTCATCCAGAGCACTTTGATATGATGCAGAATTCATAGTTGAATCATAAAACTGCAAGCTGTCCATCTCATGAAGCAGCAAAGCAAGACCCAAATATAACATTTCTACCACCATGCATAGTTGGTGGTTAGGTTGGTGTTAGGTTGTTCTCCTGAAACTCTGTCTTCTGCTTTTTCTAAATATGTCTACTGTTATTGTGACCAAACAATTATATTTGATTCTTTGGTCCATAGCATATTGTTCCAGAAGGTCTGGTCTTTGAATATTTGTTCATTGGCAAACTGTAGTCTTGCTTTAATGTACAGCAAAGGCATTTTCCTGGCACACTTCCCATGCAGGTCAAATTGGTGCAGTATCTTTCTGAATGTAGATGTATGCACTTTGACGCTAACTGTTCCAAGAGTTACCTGCAGAGCCCACAATAAAATGTTGGGGACTTTTAGCATCAAACAATCAGCTTGTGGTCTTAATTTGCTGGGCTAGTCAGTCTTGGACAAATTTGCAGACATTTAAAATCCTTGTCACTTGCAATTATTTTCCTTACAGTCCAATTATTAATTTTCAAATATTTTTGGAATTAATTCCTAGACCCCTAGTCATTCATAACCTCCTTCCTGAAAGCTTTAGGCCCCGTTCACATTGAGCGGTTCGCAAATCGCGCGTTTGTCGCACGATTTGTCGCGCAAGTGCTTGCATTGAGCAAGCTTGAATCGCGGCTAAATCCGCTCCAAAAAGGGTCCTGCTGTAGCAAGACCCTTTGTCCCATTGAGAAGCATTGGAGAGCGATTTCGCGCTGTAAATTGCTGCGATATCGTGGGAATTACCGCGCGATAAATCGCTCAATGTGAACGGGGCCTTAGAGAGCTCTTTTGATCTTGGCATGATGACACCACACACATCAACAGCAAAGAGAATGCCAGACTCTAGATATCTGAGGTTTAAATTAGGCAGGTTCTACCTGCATACTCCCTATGGAGCTTCTAAGCCATTGGGACATAATCTGGAACACCTGATTCTAATGTCATGGATTTAAAGCGGTGATTAAAGTAGGGGTGTAAATACTTTTTTCACATGACAAACCTTAATTTTTGTTATTAAACAATGCAGTACACAGTCAGGTAGCGTCTCCACTTCTTCTACCGCCGCCCTCTAATGCGTTTTCACCCATGCGGGCTTACTCATGGAGTACAGTGTACTACATTGTTCAATAAAATTTTTATGGTGAGGTGGAGCAGAGTGTGACAGATCTGATTAAAGTGAAGTTGATGAGCCAGGCTTATGATCGGTACTCACCATACTATCAGGTGGAGGCTGTTATGAGGATTTGAGCGGTATTGTGCATGACTAGTACTTAATTTTTATTAATTTAAATCATATGATTAAATGTACCATGTCCGTTTTATGTGTCACTTGTTCAAGTATATCACCATTATTTGTAGGCATGGTTTGAGTTACTGTACCTCTGGCTTCTCCTTTTCAAGGTTTATCTTACGGCTTAGCCAAAGGGGTGTTCTTTCCTTCCTGGCAGATAGCTAATTTAGTTAACAGTAAGCTTGGTCCTCAGCTTTATAAAGTCTGCATTTTTTCTTGCTAAAATTTGGGAAAGAGATCTACCTACTTTCCCCTGCTTATTCTTTGTATGTAGAGTTCCCATGTACCTTCCCTATTTGGCAATGCTGATTCTGTGGGATCAAACCTACGTTCTCTATGTGTTCTCGGGAACCAATGTTACACTCCCTGGAGGTAATTCTGCCATGGTATTCACATTTGCTACATACCATTTACGTTTCATAGCATTCAAGGAACAATGCTGTGTGCAAATAATAGACAAAAGTTTAACATTTTAATATATGTGCACAGCTTTATTTTTGGAGAAAACAGAATACTTTGTAATAACACCAAAACCTTTGAAATATGATGCAGAAGTACCATAGCGGGGGGTGTTTTTTCCCCTCAGGGCCTATATAGGTTGCAATCATTAAGGGACCAATACATTACAAGTTGTATCAGAAATTGTACAACAGAATGTGAGGGCAATGGTCTGTAAACTTGAAGAAATATACGATATAACAGTAGCTTAGAACACAGGATGGCTAAAAACTTACATTTCAAATTTTAGGACAGCCAAGTTATAGTCCTAACCTCAGTACCTCTGAAATGCTGTGTTATGATCTGAAGCAGGTCATTTAAGTCAGACATTCCAAAGAACTGTTTTGTAACAGAATACCTCCTAAACACTTTACACTATGACTACAAGTTATAGAAAGTATATGGATGAGGTTAGTACTAAATAAAGGTTACCTACTTTTTTTCCATCAATTACCTTTTTATCTAGTTGGAGTAGTGATAGTTTTAAGCTGTTGTTATTCTATGATGTATCCCATTTATTATAAAGAAAAATCATTTTTTTTTTGTATAAAGCACAGTGAAGTTATTTACAAATTAAATAATAGTGTTTTTAACACACTACTACAAAACACACAATGAATCTAACAAAAAATGTGTACATGAATAAAAAAAGTATCAATTAGAAGAAATGTATTTAAGTTATTTTATTTAATTTTTGTTGTTAAAGTGAATTGTCAGTTAAAACATTTTTTTATTAAGTTTTGAATTGTGTAGGTAAGGGTGAGAAACTCTGCGGGTTTTTATCATTTTCTGTGCCCATGCTGGGGAGATTTCCTTGCTTCGTGTTAAGAAGAGGTAGTGAGAAGGAATCCACAAGGAGGAAATCCTGCCTTTGTTACAAAACAGGTATAACCATTGAGAGATGTCCCCTGACCTTCTGCTCTGGTAACAATTGTAAAATTTCCAATTTCCCCTATTGTGTGTGGTGTTTACTGGATGAGACTCAATTTTAATCCTAAATTTGAGTTAATTTTCTGCTTGGTTACAAGGCATTAAGCGCACACAACGCAACAGCCAAGCAGATACTTGTATAATGCACCTCTTTGTATATGGCCTCTGATTTCTTTGTGAGAAAATAATTTATATTGGCCATGTGCAAAATAACAAGGTCACATTTAATATTAAAGAAAAACTTTCAAGTTTATTAGTATATGCAAACTAACAGCACTTCCAGTGTAAATATTTTTTTATGTAGTGGTTGCAAATGCCTTTACCATACCATATATACCATATATATATTAATTATATCTGCCTGGGAAAACACTGGATCCCAAGTTCACACTAATAACATGCCTGTCAGACTTTCACATAAGCCCCACCCCTTGCCATTCTAACAATCCAATAGCAGAGCCTTAGTACTTAACTACACAATGGAGTAGGAACAGTGTCTACAGATTCTACCCTGGGACCAGTCACTCTATATCATTGTGGTAATGCATTCCTTGTGCGATACAGTGCCATTCATTGTGAATGGCACTCCTATGCACCTTGCTGACGCATGTGCATTGCAGCATGTGCTTTCATTCAAGGTGTATGGTAAATTACTTTATGGTACATTGGAAACTCTGCTGAATTGTTTGTTCTGTATGGCAGAAAAAAATCTGCTACTGGCCAGCATAATCCCCGAAAGACATGACCACTACTAAAGTGAGCCTCTGCTTACTATCACGTAACTTCACACATTCTTTTCACTTCCATGTCGCTCTCTCTAGCTACCACGAGCAAAGAGAGGAAGCTCCATGTAAGCTCCTGAGGATTCCCACCCTGCCCCAATGTAACAGCACTGGGCCAATCACCAAAACCCCAGGGCAGGGCTGAAGAAGGGTACATAACATGCTTCTTCATAACTTCACACAGACAGAAGGTACAGTATCATTAAAAAGTATTCAACCCAACCCAATGGAAGATTTCATGTTTTCTTGTCATAACATATGATCACATTCCAAACTTCCACTTTTGCTGGACAGCTTGGTCTGTTAAAGGAAGTTGAAAAATAATAGACTTATTGGCTGGATGACCAGGGGAAAATAAAGAAAAAAAAATTAATGCAGCCACTACATTTAGGAATTGGTGAGCTGCAATATATTATATTTTTGCTTTTAGGTTTAGTTATGCTTTAAGTCAATTTGTTGCTTTAAACTGCATGTAATAAGCACGGGCTAACTTTAAGTACCGCCCCCCCCCCTCCTAACCTCTTTAAAACAAAGGAAAACTAGAGCAAAGAAAAGTAAAGTTGATGTCTCTGGCAACCAAGCAAGTCAAATGTTTCTTTTTTGAATATCAGATTAGACCTGAAGGATTACCAAAGGCTTTTGGCTTCAGTTTTTATGGATCATCACATTGTAGTTCTGCTCTCCTCCAAATTATTCACATTAGACATTTTTCAATCATACAAATATTCTGCACTCATTGCTAAACTTAAGCTGTGTGTATCCCCTTCCTGACATGTGGTCAAAACAGATGATATACAGTATTACTATTTCTTCACATATGTTGTGCAACTATACATGTTTTGGCTTTCCACTTGATAGTGGATTTGGAAATCAGAAACACATAGGGGATTGTGAAAAGAGAATTGTGTGCTCAGAAGATGCATGTACAGCCCACAGCAATATTTTCCATGACCGCTGTGTATTCTTTATGGCACTTTTTCCTCCTCCGTCCCCGTAGACCTGGAAGGTTGCTATCGCACAGTCGTCTACGCACAGGGATCTTGCTGTAGATTGGAATGCTGGACATGCTGAGGTCCTCCTGCATGGTGAATGGGTTGATGCAGCCAGAGCACAAGCAACGAGCCTCTGGTATAGATGCAGGAATGCGGTTCTCATCGTGATTGATACTGAAAAGAGATGTACAAGTATATAATTAATAATGAAAATGCTATACCCCTGGATATATCCATGGTTTACACCCATTTGCGTATCTGCTTTATATGTCAAATGTGGCTACCAAATCAAAGACTTGGATATGTAAACTGCACCTATTGACCCTTGGGTGTTCTAGTAAGCTAGAAAACCGTAACAGCAAGGCAAGGCATTCCCACTCCTCCTCCATCCTCTGAGCTAGTAGATGGACAGCCGCTGAAGACTTTGCTGTACCGTTTGATCGTGCACTGGACAGGAAGTTCAGGGAAGTGGATTGAGAGACTTGGAGCTGTTCTGAAATATGGTGACTGTAAGTGTTTGGGCAAAAATGTAAAGAAATACATTTCTGTGCAATGTATATTTATTAGATCTGGATTCATTTTTGAAAAATGTTTATTCTATCTTTTATTGAATGTACCAATTAATAGATTAAAAAAGTAAAAAAGCATAAACAATAAAAATATATTGTAATAATAGATATATTATATATAATAA